GTATACAGACAATCGTTAGGATTTACTCTTTATTTATTTTTATTATGGTACGTTGGAGATTTAGTACATACATATACCATTGGTCAGTATATAGACAATCGTTAGGATTTTGTTTAATTTTATTATGGTACGTTGGGGATTTAATACATACATACACCCTTGGTCAATGTACAGACAATCGTAAGTATTTACTCTTAGTTTATTTTTATTATGGTACGTTGGAGATTTAATACATTCATATACCATTGGTCAGTATACAGACAATCATTAGGATTTACTCTTTATTTATCTTTATTATGGTACGTTGGAGATTTAGTACATACATATACCATTGGTCAGTATAGGAATCGTTAGGATTTATTTTTTGTTTTATTTAATGGCTAAGCTGACAATGTAATTCTACTAGTGTCAAATCAGATCGTCGTAGCACACAGTAAACAAACCTAACATGTTTCGTCTACTATTGCGCTTCATATTGTGTAACATTTGTTAATAGTTATATATTGATTGTGATGTCAATTTTAGCCTGTTAAAAGACAGGTTCAAAAACTTTCCGTTACGGAATAAAGAACGAATATCATTATATATTTATAATCAGTACAAAGCCTCTACACACAGTCACAGAAGGTTTTCCATTTAGAATCTATATGTTTACCAAAAATCTGTCATTGCCTTAAATAGTAAACAGATTTTGTCCTCCGAGCTTCCTTCTACCGTCGATAGTTTAACATCGACAGGTCACCATTTATTGACGAAACTGACTGTTCCGAAAAGTAAAAGAAATTTTCAGATTGTTTTAACCAGAATTGAGGAGTATATGTATATATTGTCCCAATTCAAAACTGAAAGTACTAGGTTTTCACATACATACACTGTTTTCATAAAACATAAAAAGTTGTAACTATTTCCAAACCTACGCATGTATAATGAAATTATGAGATCATGGAGAACATGAATGGAAATGCATTACACGTAATATACCTGCATGTAAAAAAACACCACCCTGTATATGAATAAGTGCCTGCCAGGGAAGCCAGGGGTCCCCCGGGGGTTAGTATTAGCAAACAATCCATACAATTGGCATTTAAGCATTAAAGCAAATTGAAGCCTTATACAACTTATATATAGACAATGGTGTTATTAATTTTTGTGAAGTTGTATACAAAATGAAATAAAGTTTTTTCTTGCAGTTATTAAGTTGACAAAGCTTATGTACATTTGACTGACTTAAGTTGTAATTGTTTACGAAATCTTCTACTATTCAAGGAATACTTTCAGACGTATTGTTCATCGATAAATTCTTTATATGACATAGCACGTAATATAATTAGAACTGGAATAAAAATAACTGTACGCTGACGTCAGATACAATGAGGACACCTGTCGCAATAGTGAGTCAGCTTGGTACGATTTATGAGTTCCATTTAGAACATCTGTTTTATACTGAGCCACAGGGCTTGCTTATGAAATTCCTACAAGCTTATCGATAATATAGCACCCAATGCTTCATGTGTATAAATATATATGATATCATTTTAACTATTCCTTCAATGATAGAATTTATATACCGTAAAACAAAAAAGATAAAAATACAACAACAACGGAATTCAATGTCAATTTTTGAGAAATAAATAAAAGTGTTTTTTAACTATGCATTTAAAAAGAGTTTTGCATTAAACTTTAATAAATGCCGACGAATTTTGTGGGATATTAGGTATGGTATTGAAAATATGTTTATGTTCAAACTGTTGTTGATTGAAAGTTTTTCTTTCGAATATATTGCAAAATCCTGCGCTCTTGTACGAAGAATAAACAATGATACATGCTATGATAATACCACAGGTTCAACACTTTATTAATTCTCAGCAATTTAAAAGTATGTGTTTGACAAATTGGAGCAGAAGGCAGATAAAGTACTCCATGTTTTGCAAAACATCATCTTATAGGTGAAGTGACGGTGTTTCAGAAACTATTAGTTAGCTTGAAAAAGCTATCCATTCCAACGACAGTTTTACCATATCCAGGTTAGTTTACGTAGAAGCTACTTTATCTTAAATTCATCGTTAATATGTTTCAAAATAATACAGTATTACAATCTGAAGATGAACCATCAGCTTTAACCTTTTTTGTTGCGATTTTAAGTTCTTTGTGAAGTGGAAACATAGTATAACTCCTTTCATATTTCTCCTGAGACAACACCTCCACGTGAAAGGTTGACAACACAGGTGTCTATGTGTGCTGACGTGATGAGAGATGTTTTATTCATTATTTTACTGATGTCATCATTTAGCGATCGCAATTTCTCGGTTTGTACTAATGACAACACAGTTGTCTTTGTGCAAGAACCTGGTGACATATTTTATTCTTTACTCTATCGATACCGTCATCGAACGATGTCATTTTCACTACATTTAATTTTGACATCCTTATGCGATGACGTGGTGATGTTCTTTTTAAACTCAGATGATGTCAGGTCAACAAAGCCAACATTTTCCATTGCATTAGTAATAGCCAATCCCAATAATTTCCTCCTGAAGAACGAATGAATCATCTTGGTGCTTGCTTCACTTCCTACTTTCACTTTAATGCTGATGATGATTATATAAGATAAGGATATGCATCTCAAATAGAAAGTGGTTTTTCCGGAGTATGCTTGTCAATTCCCAGTTAAATGATACGTGCTCTTCGTAGTAAATCTTATACGACTTACGTACCTCCGCCTAACAAGATAAAACTATTGTTGTTATTTCAGTTGATGACTTTTACGCCATGATATTGCAGAACATGATGTGAATGGAAAGTATGAAGTAAAAATCACCTTTACTTTCTAAGTCATTCATGGAGCATGGAAAACGGGACAATTCTGAAGCGTGATATTGCCTCCGGTATCGACAATGGGAACTCCCAGTTCGTAGGTCCATCGTATGATTATCACGAAGTCATGAAGGTCAAGGTCGTCACCGTGGGAGACATGAGCGTTGGTAAAACGTCATTGGCTGTCAGATATGCTAAACACGAGTTTATAGAGTCTTATAATGAAACTATAGGGGGTAAGTACACGAAAATATATTGTTCAGGGACAAAATGGAAAAGTCATATGTTCTTTTATAAAAAGCATTTTTGAGGAAGGAAAGTTCAAGACTTATGTATCAAAAGAACTTTTAACTTTATCAAATCTACATTCCATTTCAGGAGTATTCAGTACCATAACTCGACAGTTACTTTGCTTGACTGGCACTAATAATGGTATTGAAAATTGTAAATGATGGTTCGATCAAACAAAATGCAGAGCCAGCGATAATTGTTTTTTTAATTAATTAGAAATCCAATAAAAAAAAAGCAGGTCCGTTATTAGTGTTTTTTTTATTTTTTTATTTGTATATTAAAAGCTGCAAATATTGCAATAACACCAGCATCTTCTACACCGTTCCGACAATCTTGTGTTCCTCTGTGTGCATTTAAAAGAAATAAAAATATTGCTGACATGTTGTTACATGTACACCAGAAAACGAGTAAGATGATGAAAGTTAAGATATAAAAAAGAAAAGGATGTGGACGGAACTGCGTGAACTGTAAGGTTTTTGCTGAGGATTATGTAAGGGATCAGGTTTGAAACAGAGTGAGGATGGATTATTAAAATTAACTGTAGGACATCGATCATCATATATGGACGAATCTGTAAAAATGTGCATATTTAGTGTACATCGAATATGATAAAAGCAATAATTCAAGGACGCCTACATATGATTAGATCTGGAGATACGTTTAATTCGGTACCACTACACTTCAACAACAACGGACATACAGTAAAGGTTTGGTTTGGTTTTATTTTGTTTTACATCCTATCAAAAGCTAAGGTCATTTAAGGACGGCCTCCCCTGTGTGCAAGATGCGTGCGTGTAGTGTATGCGTGTGTATTTTGGGAGGCTGCGATATGTTCTTGTTTGTCTTCTTGTGATAGCGCGGAACTGATGCCGACTTTATAGTGCTACCTCACTGAAACATACTGCCGAAGACACGCAGCAGGACGCCCCACCCGGTCACATTATACTGACAACGGGCTAACCAGTCGTCCCACTCCTAATTTGCTGAGCGTTAAGCAGGAGTAAAAACTACCATTATTAAAGACTTTGGTATATCTCGGCCATGGGACAGAACCCAAAGCCTTCCTCACAGGGGCAAAAGCTCAACAAATGGCCAAAGGTGAGGCATTGTTAAGGGAGACAATAGGAAGAAGAAAGTTATTTAGAAAGAAGAGAAACGATAAGGTCCCAAATTTAGTCGCCTCTTACGACCATGCAATGGGGGCAGCAGGTACAATTCTTACGCCCTACCTGCAGGATCACACACACAGTAAAGGATCTCCAATTTGTAAGAATAGAAATGGTTAAGAAGCCCGGAGTAATGTATAGGCGTGAGAGGGAGATATTTTATATAAACAAATATGGCACTCTCAACCAATTGAATAAAAAGGGATAAGAAACTAGTACGGGAAATTTATGACGTCATAATGACATCTATGACGTCATAAGGTAGCTTCCTTAGTGATGGAAATAATCATTGAGGCATTTGATTAAGATGGCTGTGCGATTGAAACATTGTGCCAAAAAAATCATATTTATTATTTTACGAAATATTGTGACAGTATTTGTTATTTTCAGGTACAGTTTATGTTATTTTCAATAGCAGGGCTGTTCTTTTTGTAGACAACTTAAGGAATGTTAAGTACATGATGTGGTAGAGGTGACATTTAATGTCAAGCACCTATCAATGAGCTACACCATAATGCACTAATTACGATCATGACTCCCCTTGGTATGCCTCGTTTTTTCTACAGAGTCGTTATTTCACACCATGATTTAGTGCACGGATCCCTTACGACGATATTCAACCTGTAGAGATTGTAATCTGTCATTTATTGGCTACGTCCTGCAACTATTTCCTGGTACATGCTTCAGTATAGATAACATTAAGGACACAGCTAGACTGTATGTGGCCATGTCACACAGTCTGATAGCAATGATTCCATTTACTATTCTAATACTTGCTTTTACTTGGTTAAGAGAAACGTCACGATTACACTTAATTGTTTCCGTTAAATTTTATAACTGTTCAGTTTTACTTCATTTACAGCAAGTTTTTACGTCCGGTCGATCGAAGTGTCCGGGAAAACCTTCCTGTTCCAGATTTGGGATACGGCCGGACAAGAGAGGTTCCGAAGTTTGGTTCCCATGTACCTTCGGGATGCCAAAATCGCCATCCTTGTTTATGACGTAACAAGTATGGTAAGACTAAACATTACAATGTATATCTCTTTTTACCCGTACCAAAATACACCATAACGGGACTGACAAAGTCTAACAGATACATAACTGACTGGAGTAACACAACGGACTTAACACACAATGTGATACTCATTGCATGCGTAGCGGCATCGATCAAATAAAATTGCCTCTGTTATACTATCTCCGTATTGTAAAACATCATTCGTGATACATTACTTAAATCACAAAAAAAAGACTTGACAGTTATTTGTTCTAAAACTGACGAATGTAGATTAAGTATTTGTTGTCGATTGAAGTGAGTGATTTTGTTAAACATCAGACCACTGAAAGAAAAACAAATTATGCCGATGTGATATTTTGTGTTTAATTTGGTAACTATCTATTCTCTAAAGGATTCAAAAATAAGTACCAAATTTAGCAGATATGTTTGGTATTCTTCTGAAAGGAGTCGATATATTTGACCTATCCCTTAATTTCGTTTATATTGATAATGATTTAAACTTTAAGTTACAGAATATCAGGAATGATTGCAAAATAAAATTTAACTATTAAAGATACTTTAGAATCCCCCTTTCAGTTTCTTATCGCAGTCTATTCACTTCCGATATAACACTGTTGTTATTAAGTACCATCCTTACTTTTTCAAGCCCCAGTTGATTCGCCGTTATAGAGCCCGGTCCAAGTATCAGAACTGTCTAGCTATATGTTTCTTGTGGACTTACAATAAGCCAGTGTTTCTACTGAAGAAGACTTACTGTATGCTAAAGATTTTTTTTGTCGTCAGCCATCCTCGATATTCGGGGGTTACGTTCACGCGTGTCCTTTGAAGATTACAAAGGAGCGAAACTCGCCTGTGCTTTTTTACCGTTACGCGATCGCGAGATTATTTTAATGTACATCAAATGATCGAACTAGTCTTTTTGTTTCATCAACAATGTGGCACACACTTAGTCTTCCATTTTGCTATGACATATTCCAGGGGCCCATGGAGTATCGTGGATGAGTTGTCAACATGACCCGAGTTTCTACTGAGAAATTTCAGTGACCTCTACTTGTTGAATGTCAACCCTGACACATTCCGTCATAGGTGTTATCGCCTGCTTTATGTACCGGAGGATCCCTTTTGTGTTTTGCTTTGCTATTGGACTGTGCTTCCAAATGACATGTTTTGAAAGTGCTTTATCACTTGAATACCACAGCATGGACGATATTATGTCCGACCAAGACCATATACTCCATTCCAAGTATACGAAATTAGCAATAACTGCTAAGTGTCATGTCAAAGGAAACAACATCATGCGCCGACAGCCGGTTTTGAACCACCAACTTCACAGTTACAAACTGGTCGGTAGCTTTACGCGCTATCCACTGCGCTACGGTGCCATTGACCATATCCCTCCCTCAAACTTCGTGGATGAGATACGTTATTTTCTGAATTCTGCAGCAGACATCAAATCGAGTAAAATATGTTGGTCATGAAACGCTTAACCTCCTGGGTCTTCTTGCTTTGCCGGTGGATTTAATGAGGGTTGATGATATATTTGCGATTGATGTCTCTATAGTTTATTGTGTTGCCTCTCTCTGTATTTTGATATTTATCACTACAGTGCGATTTTTGATTAAAAAGTTAAAAAAAAAACGTCGCAAGTTTTGGTTAGAAAAAAATACGCATGTATAAAATGAAAAATGACGTAATCTCGACTCGCAAAAAGCGTAAATGAAAAAAAACTACAGTTAAATACGTAGTTAATGTATCAATCTATGGAGAGGTAAAACATTTATATGTCGTATTATTTATGTTACAATAGAAACTGTTTCTGTCATTTATCCCCAGGATTCGTTTGATGCCGCTGCTAGCTGGCTGAAGGACCTACTGGCCAGTAGTCCATCGTCGGTCAAGATTGCCTTAGTTGGTAACAAAATGGACCTATCAGACCAGAGGGCAGTGTCCGTCGAGGTAAACTTTTCTATACAATATGTAGAATGCTATTTTTGTAGGTTTCGTGGTACGATAAACATGTAACTTCAATAAAACCACAATCAAAACATCAAACACAATAATCTTTAACCACATATGTAGGGGAAATTTTGTTTTTCAACTTGAACGAAAAAGGATGGCTCTGTTTGATAATCACCTCATCTGCACCTAATTGGACATGACTAAACTGTGTTTTTCATGGTAAATAGAATTGAAAAGTTCTATTTTTAGTGCAATTTAAGTTAATCTCTTGCTTTTATCAATATGTTTATTAAATCTTCTCAGACGTATATGTATTAACGTATTCATATGTTAGCAAGATGCCGTTTACTTGCGATACAGAGAGAAAAACTAAGGGATTGGTCTCTTAAAAGCCGTGATATATTTAGAACGCATTAACTATCACCCTTCTAACACATGTCATCGTCTTGTTAAGCTAATATCTTTAGCACTGAACTATCGCGTCACTGATTTAAAGCACTGGCGGTACGTTCAGCCAGCACATTTACACCACAAAAAGATCTGATTAAAGTATTACTACCCAAACGAGCATTGGCGAAATTGTAATATGTGAATGTGAAAATCAAAACTGTGCACGGTATTAGAATGTGTGTAGTAAGCTGTATGTAGTATGTTGTATGTTGTATGTAGTATGTTGTATGTAGTAAGCTGTATGTAGTATGTTGTATGTAGTATGTCGTATGTAGTATGTTGTATGTAGTATGTAGTAAGCTGTATGTAGTATGTTGTATGTAGTATGTTATATGTTGTATGTAGTATGTTGTATGTTGTATGTAGTAAGCTGTATGTAGTATGTTGTATGTAGTATGTTGTATGTAGTAAGCTGTATGTAGTATGTTGTATGTAGTATGTTGTATGTAGTATGTTGTATGTAGTATGTTGTATGTAGTATGTTGTATGTAGTATGTTGTATGTAGTATGTTGTATGTAGTATGTTGTATGTAGTATGTTGTATGTAGTATGTTGTATGTAGTATGTTGTATGTAGTATGTTGTATGTAGTATGTTGTATGTAGTATGTTGTATGTAGTATGTTGTATGTAGTATGTTGTATGTAGTATGTTGTATGTAGTATGTTGTATGTAGTATGTTGTATGTAGTATGTTGTATGTAGTATGTTGTATGTAGTAAGCTGTATGTAGTATGTTGTATGTAGTATGTTGTATGTAGTATGTTGTATGTAGTATGTTGTATGTAGTATGTAGTATGTTGTATGTAGTATGTTGTATGTTGTATGTAGTATGTTGTATGTAGTAAGCTGTATGTAATATGTTGTATGTAATATGTTGTATGTGGTATGTTGTATGTTGTATGTAGTATGTTGTATGTAGTATGTTGTATGTAGTATGTTGTATGTATTAAGCTGTATGTAGTATGTTGTATGTAGTATGCTGTATGTTGTATGTTGTATGTAGTATGTAGTAAGCTGTATGTAGTATATTGTATGTTGTATGTAGTATGTTGTATGCAATATATTGTTTATAGTATGTTGTATTATTGAAATTATAAATGTTATATCTAGTACATTGTGCTTAGTATGTTATGAAAAATATGTTATTTACTGCATACAGCCTATTTAAATCGTAAACTGTATACAATATACTGTATGCGGAATTCGACATATTCTATATAGAAAGTTATATACAGTATGTGTGCAGTATATTGTCGCCAGTAACCTAACCCACACAGCATCCTCGCTATATTTGATATAAATAATGCAAACAATATTTTCTTTGTTCATATCTTCCCTTTATGTTTTTATACATTCGGTATCCTCCTGTTTTCTATATCGCTACATTGTTGTACACATGTTTTCACTGCCAAGAAACTTTTTAGTGATGTTTACAGTAACTATTTCCAAACCAATCATTATACGCATATCTCTCAGATAAACACTACATTAAAATGTTTTTGTTCTGTTTATAATAACTAAGGTTTCCTCCCTTCCAATGTATACCCTGACACAGCACTTATTTCCAATATGATTGTTGACTGTTTTGAATTGCCAAATTTAGCTGGTTGTCACCTTCTTCTTTGGAAATGTAAAGCCCGATCAATTATTTTTATTTGAAAGTTTGTTGACTGTTTCTAATAAATATTACTACATATTGTCTCTTTCTCATCAACGTGGAATTATCTCGTTAAATGTTTTGTTTTGTTTTGTTTTTTGTCAAAGAAAAGTCAAGGATGTTTCTTTGGACTGTGAGCATTAACAAGATAGTGGGTACATAAACAAGCGAGAATTTCTCCAGTCGCTTTGTTTGTTTGATTTGTTGTTTTAAAATGTGTAGGAGAACGGTGCATGAGAAAAGGTCTTTTTTAATTGTTTTTTTTACTGTCGAAAGCTTATTAGAAAAAAACACAGTCGATGTGATAGTTTTCATTCGAATATTGAATTTTTATAGTTACCGCCCTCCATTAACAAAATCGTTTTCATTTTTAATAGTTTCAAAACAGTTTTAAGTCTCTTATCTTATGGCGAGATCTGCAACCAATATCAACTTACTATGATTTAATCAAATAACCAGTTAGATAAACACCATATTAGAAATTTAAATCTGAATTGCTTTGAAAAATGCCCTGCATCATAAAATGGAGACAGTTGAGATGACAACTTTGTAACAATACCATACAACCGATGAGCATAAAGATTAGGATATATATATGCTACATTTGTAACAGTGTTGGCCTTTGGGTATGGCCTCACTCTTTGAGACTTACTTTTATGCAGTTAAATATACTTAATGATAACACTGTGTCTTCCCTGGTTCAGCAAAAATCAGGTAATAGTTTTCACCATGGTCATTTATCTATCTAAATGGTTACCGTAACAAAACCGATACGTAGAAAAGAAAAAGAAAAGAAAAGAAAAACATTGTTTAAATCCTGCTTAGTTGTTCTAAATAACGGTTGATTACACAAACAATAAATAAAACGGAGAAAAATATCATTGCTTTTTTCTATTGAAGATTAGTAATACTGGTTCTAACGAGGCATGTATCATGTATGGCTACAATGACACAACATTACCCTTTGTGTCACTGGAAACAATAGCAGTATGATATGGAAGATTTCATTCTTGCTTCAATTTCAGGTTGCAAAAAGTTTTGCCTCACAGAAAAACTTGGCTTTTATTGAAACATCTGCAAAAACGGGTGAAAATGTGGACACATTATTTACGATGTTGGGTAAGACGTTCTCTTTATATATATATTATATAAAATGTTAAGCAAGATAAAATCGTTATACATTCATGTATCATATATAAAGCAAAATATATATTCTCTTTAAATATATTATTGATAACACTCTTTAAAAGTATTATAGAAAATACACCGTTAAATATTATAGATAAGACACTTTAAAAATATTGTTTTACAGGTGAAATGATGTTGGAAGATGCGGACGCCCTGGACAGACAGATATCGTCGGATACGTCAACATCTTCGCCTGTTGTGGACGTCAGAAACGTGAAGTTCCCAAGTCAAAGGAGGTGTTGTAGATCCTGATGTGTTTATGGGAAAGGATATGTCAACATTTAATTCAATTTGAAACATTTTCGTCGAAAAGACATGAATTTGTCTGTGGATCTTTAACATATGTTTGGTATAAAAAACAACTTGTGTTTCTTTTCCTGAGAAATGAATGTTGTGGTTTAGGATGTATATACATTGGTTACAGGGAGTCCACTGTATTATTCATTACTTCCGGTGACTTTGGTGTATATTTCGCAGGTGAAGGTGCCGTGGTCCAAGATGTAAATGTGCCTGAGGTTGCGAGGAGTTAACAGAACTAGTCATTACTTCCGGTCTCTACTACAGTTTGACACACTAATGTGGTTTGTGTTCAGAGAGGTCATTGAATTATTTATTACTTCCGGTTACCTTTGATCTTGTCAGTAACAAGGCACTACACGTGTTGCATTAAAAAATAAGTCTAGAACAGACAACTGTGTGTCTATCCTATCTGATATGTGTGCAATATTCGTTTTGTGGAAGCTTTCAAAGACTGAGATACTGGTACAGACAGATGCTATGATCACAATATGCTCTTTCAAAACGGAAAGAAATCGGTGTATGACCTTGTGCAAACATCTTAAATGAAGAAATTGCAAGATGCAAGTTTTCATAAATAGAAATGTAGTATTATGTATGATATCATTACGAGAGTTAAGGCAGATGCTGAAAAAAGGCCGTATGAGTGCAAGGAATATGTAATGACATTCATTCAATGGTTGAAAATAATATAAAATATATTTTCATGTATGTGATATGCATTTATTTTTAAAAATATTTTTATTTTATTATCATCTCGATGCTCTGAAATAAGTTTTAAGTGTTCATGCATTAACATGTAAGCATTCTGGATATAATTCCTATTTCCTATTTTGTCTGGAATTCTTCTGCTCAATATTTTAACTTCATTTCGTTCAATTCACGATAACAAGTGGTAATTTGTGAATGGCTAACTCGGGGTAAACTTTATATATAAACAACGTCATGCTTGTATTTAAAAAAGATGAAATGTTTATTTGTATCTTTTATATGATTTGAGGATTTACGAACAGACTCAATATCTTTATTAGAGGACCATAAACCCTGTAACTATGTTACTTGTACATGCGATATTTTATGTTTACAAGTGCAAAACTAGGCGGTGTTTGTTACTGTATACCAGGACATTTTCGCCACAGTTTTCAACTTTCCCCTTTTTCGACTTCCGTGAAAAGGGTAAACTTATCACAGCGAACCATATGGAGTAAATTAATGGGACATGAGTTAATGTAAATTAACATAGGGGCAATAAAGATTTCTACAATCAAAGGCAATCATTTGACAGGGGAAAGTTTCTAGGTAAACAAAAGAATATTAGATATATTGAAGAAAAACCACTGTCTTTAAACATACGTCGTACATTTGTTTATGCATATTCTTTTAATCACCCTGCTTAGCGTAATATTTTGCTTCGCTTCAAGAATTGATCATTTCAGTTCTAAAATCCTTTTATTCAAGGGTCTTGAATGTGTTTGAATTGCATGTGTGTATGCAAATTCCCCATTGCCTTTGACAACCATACATGTAAACATGATAAATATTGTGAATAAAGAAAACTTTGTAATACAAATAAAATTTTAGATTAATTTACAAAAACTGGAAACAGATTTAGCAGAACCGTTCAATTGAAAAAAGGCGGGAAAGATTTTTTTTTTTCTTTTTTTTTCTTTCTATTTAATCATATTTTTATTTGCATCTAATATATAAAAGGGATTGGGAACAAGTTTTCCAACTTATATAAAGCCTTTCCGAAGATATATTTATGTTGTAGGATATACTTGTTTTGTTTGTTTGGCACAAAATTGGTTAAAAATAAGTTTGGCTGACATGTTCTATCAAGAATTGTTGTATTTTAAGTGCAATCAAGTTATTTTACTATTAGTGCATGGAGAGATTGACTTGTTTTATTCCATGGTACGGAGGCTGTAGAATCAATAGACATGAAGTGCAATCAACTTAAATAGGTAGATAGGCGTTAGGAAATGCTATAACGTCAAAAACTGGAAAAACATTTTTAAAAAGTGAATAATAAGGTTACATCATGAACAGAAATAGAACGAAGTACGACAAATATATGTTTATATGTTTGACAAAATAACTACGGCGAAGATGAATAATAAGGTTACACCATGAACAGAAATAGAACGAAGTACGACAAATATATGTTTATATATTTGACAAAATAACTACGGCGAAGACCGTAGGTATGTAAGAAACAAACAATAGGCAGACAAAATAGGTTTATTTTCATACGTTTGTTGACAAAAAAACAGTGTCAACAAGCTGACAAAACTACAAATTACAAACAACAGTTAACATTAAAAATAGAACATTTGAGCACAGATCTGAGGCGCCTGATATGACCGCGAAGTTTCACCCGGTAGTTCAATCATATTGTGAACACAATAAAATAGGATGAAACTCAACATCGGCACACATGTTGCGTCACCACTACAAAACAATTCACGAGATACTGTATACAGGAAAATGTTCGCTTCAGTTTTATTTTCGCCCTTTACGCCCTCCTTAATAAGGAATAATCATCTGTATATAGGTAAATAAACGTATAAATTAAATGTGAAAGGCGAAATTAACACTGGTCGAATAGTGATTTTATGGGGGAAGGGCGAAAGTTTGATATGGCGAAAATTTGACTTGGCGAAATATAAATGGGCGTAAAGTTTGACTGAGCGAAATACAAATAGACGCAAAGTTTTACTGGGCGAACTATAATTAGACACAAAGTTTGACTGGGCGAAATATAAATGGGCGCAAAGTTTGACCGAGCGAAATACAAATTGGCGCAAAGTTTTAATGGGCGAAATATAATTAGGCACAAAGTTTGACTGGGCGAAAGTTTGACTGAGCGAAATACAATTAGGCACAAAGTTTGATTGGGCGCAGAATTTATCTGCTGTCAGTATTTTCTGTATTTCCTTCTCCCACATATTACAGCACCTCAATATTTTCAGTCCTTTACGCGGTGGAATCTTTGTAACAGCCTCCCTTTAGTTTCGTTTTAAGTGTCGATTATACGTTAAATTTTTGTCCCCTTGTGTGTATACTTTTTATTTTTAGAAATTTAGAAATAAACGAGTTGACCAATGATCTAAAGATTCGATAAGTTTGAAGATAGCTTCCAGTAATAATAAGTTACATGAAATACTAGAGACAAGGGATATCTCAGTTGGAAGTTGAAGTGTATCAGAGTTATCTCCCATCGTCCACGCTGACTAAACATATGTTCGACATTTCGAATCAGAATTAAGGGATATCTTTTGCTAAGTTAATATTACTTTGGAAAAAGAAAGAAGGAAAAAAATCAAATTGGTTAAAATACAAACTTTTTTGTTATTTTGTTCGATTGTCACACAAATATAACTCTTAATTAAGACGTTTACAACTGAAGCACATTCTTTCTTTAAACATAAAGGACCTATTCGCATGTTACGTAAAATAACCAATGAATTTTCTGCCCTGGGTTCATTTTCGCCCTCTCTCGATAAAGCGAAATGAAGAAAGGGCCAGCTAATATATGATATACACAATTGTAAGTACATTTATACAATCCCTAACGGTAAACAGATTCGTCGACGATTACGACCCCATGTGTAGCCCTCTTGCCATATTATTCCATAGTGTTCTGATATTCTGTTTAGTTACTCCTTAAGTTTTAACTGACTAGATAAACGGAAATATATTGTAGGATTATTAATAGAATCTATCGCTACTGGTTGTGTAAGATAGAGAAATCTCAACCCGAGGACTAAGATTTTTTGTCCAGGACGAGGCTTTCCCATATCTAACAGTATTTTAATGTGAAATAAAGGTAAACATGGACCCAAAACACATACAGGCAATTTGTTGATGGATTGTTGACGTGACGTCATTGTATTGTTGAAGTGACGTCATGTCATTGTTATGAATAGGGGAATCCCCCCGTCTCAACCCTAGGGCGGAGACAGATAAATCTAGCACAGGCAAAATGGGAGATAAATCTGTCAGGTGTGGGAGACACCCTGTTCAGCTGTTTAATATACGACCTTTCCTCGCCATAGTATTTCTGTCATCTACCCTCCCCAGTACTGTATTTATTTATCTAGTACTCATTTCTATCTCATCCAACACCTACAACTTCTTTTAATAAAAATGGTAACATTGGTTGTACGCCAATCAACCATTTTTATATGGCGCCATATTATCAAACAAGACATCATTCCAATGCTTACATTGTGATGTCAAAGAATGCGTTTTGGGAGTCTCACACTTGGATTTAAAAAGGTAATATCATACCGACAACATCTTAGAAACGCCTGTCCAGGTTAAAAGAACGCCTGTTCTCGTTCACCTGTAATATATTGTTATATGCTAATGAGTACCCAGCCTGTCACTGACGACGCTAGACGTTGCTGAACTATTGAGCGAATTGCTTGAAATCTAACCCGCCAGAAAGGTAATATTCCCCCTCATTTATCTCGACTGTTCACTTTTTTGAACCTCCGTGGAGATTGGCGTGGGAATTCCGAGGGTCCTGCCTGTGTACAAACGCAACTACAAGAAACCCAAGGGTCCCAACACTGCCACCAAAACGTACCAAGCGGACGGGCACCCATCCAGCTATTGACCACGCAAGACACTAGCGCACGTGTCTCATGGTCTTTCGCCAGTAATGAGTATTTCCCCTACATATTCTTTAGCTGTCACACTTTGTTTCCTCCTCTGCATTCATTACATTTCACCAAACTCCACACCATAGAGCATATCCTCCAATCCTGCAAATTCACTTCATCTAAAACCTGCCTACACTTGTGTGATAGATGTTCGAGAGGGCGACTGGGTGCCGTATCGTCTGCAGCAGTACTTTTCGAACATCTCAGTATTAAATATAATGTATATGATGGGGTTAGCGGCACTGTTGAGAGGGGCAAGACTCTGTATAAAGGTACTTATAGCAACGCTATGCGGTGTCCCATGTTGAATGTGGCCATAGGCGTCCAGCAGGTCATACACAAAGTATGGGCTCCAACAAAGGACAAACGCTGAAATAAATGGAATCTCGTAAATATAAAATTGGAAAAAAAACAGATTCGAAAACTTCATTAAAGAAATGCCACAGAATTTGTAAAATGGATTCCAACAAAGGACAAACGCTGATATAAATGAAAAATATCAATTAGAAAGTCTTTTGTTTCTCGTAAATATCAAATAAAATTCACAAAAAACAATTAATTCATAAAGTTATTGCTGTAGATTTTGTAAAATAAGTTTGTCACGATACAGTTTGAAATGATTTTTAGATATTTTGATTATTAAAGTGTAACTTAATTGACCTATGTGATTGTTACAGAACATCAACTCGGCAAAATATGAATAAGCCAAATCAATGAAACAGGAAACGGAATCAGGCGTAGAAGACTTAGCCAACTTTTATGTATCTTAACTATTCATAGAAACTACCAGCATATTTCAAGTAAAAATAAATTGGAAAATATGCTTTATGGATGTGATGAAGTTGCTCACCTAAAACAATAACAAATGTTATTTTTATTGTTTTGATCCTTGCTCTAGGAATGATCCCCCTTGAACTCATGCTTGTTTCCGTCCAGTGGCCTCGTCTTCGACTGCTGTGTACTACTAACGACGGGGAACCGTATGTTGTCCCTGTTAATTAAAATAAAAAGCATAATTGGTCTTACTATGTAATTATCTTGTCACCGCAGTAAAATACTTGCCGCTTCCAACCGACTCGACAAGGAGGAGGTTTTCTTAAGATCATTCGGTAGAGTGCAGAATTTAGTACTTAACATGTTGTATTGGAAGATATTGTGTATTTAAAAGGCAAGATCTTGTAATGTTAAAAGAAGAAAATGTTGATAGTGTGGGTATTTTTTTATGTTAGCTGTCAATTGCGTTTTAACCTATACTTTTACACACTTTCGCCACAAGAATAATATGGCATTACTTGCCAAATATTTCACAAGGACACCCCCGAGAACCACTGCCTGACAAATATAAAAGAGTGTCAGACTAGTAAAACAGAGACCCCAGAGTCACTGAAAAAGGAACTGTGTCTTCATATGCCGTGCTGGATATTGCTACGACCCAATTAGTGCTGGATGTAGTGATGTTATTTGACTGTAGTACCCTAACACGTGCATTTCTAGCTCTTTGTATGTACTTAGTCTGTCATTTGTAGAACCATTTGAATTTTCGATGTAACAGACTTATTAGATATAAAAAAGAACCACTACAAGTCTCGATTCCTGAAGGATCCACGTCCAACTGCACTGTGGTGTTTCATACAAACGACAAACACCCATAAACGTCCGTTTGGATATACATGCAGCGCAGTTGGGCCATGAAACTTTCGTTGAATAGGTAGCTCAATCGGTTAGCGCGATACATGAAGTATAACAATCTGAAGTCCAGGGTTCGAATCCCCGTCTAATTATGCAGAAGATTTATATCTATAAGAACGTACTGTCTTGGATTACATTTTGTTTATTTCAGCTTTTTATTCTTCTATTTTTCGTTTTAGGACTGATTTATCAAAGCTATAGCCATACATGAAACAAATCCAATACACAGCTACGTTTCGTGGCAATGGTACGCGGATCCTTAAGGATGTAAAAAATATCCTGTATTAATTATTTTTTCTTATATGGATTTTTGGAAAAAGGAGTTAATGGCATAGTTGAAAATGCAAAAAAAATATATATGTCCGTGTGTTCGTTTTTGTGCTATGATCGGTCAAAGATACCGATTTACCACAACATGGGCTTTTAGGTAATTTTGGGGTTTTTGACCATTTGCAGAATAAATTCATACAATTTCTTCCAAGTGTGTTATCAGATATGTATGAATGTTTGTAGAATTGATGAAAATATTATTTTCTTTTAAATTCTGGAAGTAAAATTTCTTAATCTTATTCTTTTAACTCAGAAAGCCGAGTTTAGTTACCCCTACCCCCTATTTTTTAATGAAAAAATACTCATTTCATTACCATTTTTTGCAGATTAAACGCTTGATATAAAAAGTTCTGCTATTAAACTTTTTAATATTTAATGAATTAAAAGAAACTATGTTTCTCTTTCTAAAACATCCACAAAAATGGGGGGTCCGTGTGCTTTTTTTTTTTTTTTTTATCCCATTATCATTTG